CACGGTGAAAATACAGATGCAGAGGGAAAAAATGAAAATAGGTGAGCAGACCAGATTGGACTGCCAGGATTTCCTTCTCGTGTGTGTTTTCATAAGTATCTCATATAATAGATCATGTTTCCTGGAAACACTCAAGCCCAGCCAGTCTGCAGATAGCACAGAGTTGGGTAAAGGACACAGCAGGTTATAGCAGAGACCTAGGGTCTGAGCCACTATGACTATAAATTTGCTCATGGATCCCTCAGGATCCTGAGGTTTTCTTATTAAATTGGTCTAATAATTCATCATAAAAATAATGCTATAAAATCAGATGATAAATATGACAAGTTTCTCAAAGCATGGAGTGATTTCTAACACTTATCAATTCATGTGGAAAATGGGAGGCTGTCTCTCTGTCTTCACCGTGGCTTCTTCCAATTTGTTGATGGGTTGTAGGGTCTGAGCTTTGATAGCAAGTGTTATCTGGCCTTTCATGCTGACCGGCTTCCTTGTGTCTGCCTTCCAACAGTGTGAACACTTGTTGGACTCCATGCACCTTCCTGCTGGAAATTTGATTTCTTCCTCTGCATTCACAAATTCCCACAATTGCTTGCACTGTGCTTCTCTGGGTTTCATTGTGAAGATCAATCTCTCTGGATGCTTATTATGGCTATCTTGTTAGGGAGCCTGCAGTGATGGTAGCAATGCCTCTCTCTCTCTTTTTTATTTTTAGATTTACTTATTTGTTTTGAAAGTCAGAGTTACAGAGAGAGAGGAAGGAAAGACAGAGAGAGAGAGAGAGAGATCTTCCATCCTCTGGTTCACTCCCCAGATGGCCACAATGGCCAGGGCTGCGCCTGGCCAAAGTCAGAAGTCTCATCTGAGTCTCCCACATGGATGGCAGGGTCCAAAACACTTGGGCCTTCTTCTGCTTTTCTCAGGCCATTAGTAGAGTGATGGATTGGAAGCAGAGCAGCCAGGACATGAACTGGCACCCAGTCAGGGTGCCGGTGAGGAAGGCAGCAATTAAATTCACTATGCCGCAGTGTCAGAGCTTAGGTTGGTCCTTTTCAATCCTCACAATAATACTAGTAGAAAATTGAAAATGAATCTTGATATGAATGGAAGGGGAGAGAGAGCGGGAAAGGGGAGGGTTGCGGGTGGGAGGGAAGTCACGGGGAGGGGGAAGCCAATGTAATCCATAAGCTGTACCTTGGAAATCTATATTCGTTAAATAAAAGTTAAAAAAAAAAAATACTAGGAGTAAAATGCTCTTATTTTCCTTACATATAAAGCATGTCTGCCTAACTCTCAATCACATATGCAAATTTGAGGAGATTTAAGTGTAAACTGAAGGAGGTCTTAGGACCATTAGATGGCAATGCTAGGTTTGACCCAGGATTTGCGCTTCCTTATTCAGCTGGTCTGCTGATGGAAACACACTTCTATGCCTTTCCTACGTCATGAGGAAGATCGAGAAGAGAGAGAAATATCAAAGGGATGCTACTTGTCGAGATTCCCTAACAACCTGGAGTTGGAAGCAGAAATCGCCGTAGTTCAAACCCGCAGTGTGACCTGGGGTCTCTCTTTTCTTCAAGTCCCTAATAGCTTAAGGATTGTACTCAAGCATTAGAATGATGGCGTCATGTTAGACGGTTGCTCTAAATGGCCCTAAAACCCTTCTCTTTCTTATCCTGTACTTAACACAAAGTCAGGTTTTGGTTCTGCCTATCCTTGGGCATGGTGGTTTGTTAGACAGCAAGAGGACTGTCTACACTTAGGAATTTAGCTTATGTTTTTTCTTCAAGAATGAGTTAATATTTAATGTCAATCTTCCCACATAAAATTTATTTACAATGTGTGCCTCATCTATTCCTTTGTTGATCACTGATTTATAGGTTTTCCAGTGTGTGCATCCATTGGATTAAGTATGTTGTAAACATACAGTACACGTGGGGGACACTGGGCTTCCAGAAATGACTCCCTTAGAACACACAGGGGTGCCTATTTCAAGAAGCCTGAGTGTGGACGGGCAAAGAGAACACACTCTGTAAAGCAACACCAGAAAGAAGATTATATTAATATCCTTTCTGGCCTTACCCCTGCCTTAGGAGTCAAACGGTGAGTGACTGATGTGGAAGGGAGGGCTAGAGAGACTACAGGAGCAGCGGGAAATAAGGAAGGGGATGAACAAGACGTGTGCAGGTAGGGAACACCAAGAGGACACGCTTCTCCCTCATCCTCTCCATCCATGGAACGGAATTTATTTTAGATAAAATAACAAGGAATTGAGCTTATTGATAAGTAGTCTTACATGCTAACCTTGAAAGTAGGTGTGGAACCAAAATAAAATTCCCATGGAATGTTGGAGTCCCACTTACCAAGGAAGGCAGGAAGTTGTGCGAATGGCGAAGGGAGGAAGCAAAAGGAATTGAAGATGGGGAAACCCATGCCTATCTTTCAGCAGCAGGATCAGGGTACATTAGCGGGAGGAGGGATGTGGGGAATATCCCCACAGCACAGGCTTTACAACACTGGTTTGAAACACAGGGACATGCAGTGGGAGAGCAACCCACCTCCCAGGCCAGGAGCCAAGGACACACAAAGGCATTGTTCTTGTCCCTGCCTGGGTCTCTGGTTTTGCCCCCCATCCAGGGACCACTCAGGGTGCTTCATTTCTAGGCTTCTTCAGGCTCCATCCCCACCCCACTGGCAGTGACTGACACAGCCTCTTCATGCATTTGCTGGTGCTGGAAGTAAAAGCAGCTCTGTTTATTTCTGGAAAATCCCCACAGTAATTCTAAATCGTTGGCTCTGTCTTGTCATTTAAATTCATACAAAGTCAAACTCCCCAAGTCAGAATCCAACGTCTTTACACATGTACATCTGCATTTTGCTTTCTGAAGCTTTGAGCTCCAAGCTAAAATCCATCTTCACCTTCTACCAAGGAGAAGCTCAGTGGAAGGCTTTGTAAGCGACCCCTCTTTCAGAGGTTGTGTGGGAACTGGCCCCTTGGAGGGAACTGGGTTCATGTGGGTATGCAGAGCTTAGAGAAAGGCAAGATTTTTTAAAAAGCAAGGAGGGAGAGGGGTTTGGGCACAAGTGTTCATATTGGGAGAAGTTCAGGTTGTGTCACTGGGGCAAGAAACGTGGATGCAGGTATGTGTGGTGTGTGCATGTGTGTGCTTGTGTGTGTCCTTACATCTGAGAGAGTGGCTATATGTGTCACAGATGACATTCATAAGTTAATGAATGATCTCCATTTCATGATGTTGCTGGCATTTTTTCTTTTTAATGTCTTGCTTTCTCCCGAAATAGAGTCAGTCTAGCTATAATTTGTGTTTCTTTGATTCAAATTAGCTCATACATATAGCATACAATCATTAGCTTGTAGAAATTCCATTGGTTCATGGTCAATTTTTCCTAATACATTGATGATTTGTAAGGATTATGGTCTTATTTTCTGAGAATTAAAGATAAATACAGCATCAATATATGAAGATTTGAAGAAATAAAAAAAAAGGCAAAATCTTGAAGAAGTAATCAGCTTTGGTGCAAAACCTTAGTGGCTTAGTCTTCCGTGTGTGGCATGTTAGGCCTAATGAGGAAGACGCAGGAGCAAACACAGAAGCTGCAGCAGCATGCTCCTGGGCACTAGGTACCACTTGTGAGGTTTATCTGAGTTGCTTGTCATTTTGATGGAGCTGGTTTTCATCTGAAATAAATGCACAGATAGCCCTAAAATTCCTGCCGGCTGCAATCATGGATAGAAGGTGCCTCTTTCTCTCTCTTTCCCAAAGAAAGGAGGCCAGTCGAGGTGGTCCATGATGACTGAGGCCCCTGCACAAGGCGGCTGAGAGCCCGGGAAGAGGGCAGGTGAAGGGTTGTGGTTTCCCAGCCCATAGCTGCACCTGGCACCAGATATGTAAACTCTTCAATTGGAGCAGACAAGAACTCCCACTTTCTGATCCCTCCTCTAAATGATCCAGAAGGAAAAAGAGTTTTTTTTTTTTTTTTAACATTTGCAAGGCTTTTTTTTTTTAAAAATAGACTTCCTCCTAATTTATTACTGTTTTGCTGAAAGTGAAAGTGACTTTGGTCAATAAAATTACCCATCGTGAGACCAGATGCCAAGAGCTCCAGAAAGGACACCTGGTCTCAGGTGATTCTAATCTCCTGCCTTTAAGAGATGGACAGTGAGGACGACAGGGCCTTGGGGAGGTGGGGCTAATGACTCACAGGGTTATGGTCTCCATGTGTGTCACCTCAGTCCAAGCTCCAGCTCCCACTGTGGCTCCGTTTGAGGGACTGTCCTCTGAAGAAGTAATTCAGGTTAACTGAGGTCAAGAAGGTGGTTCCCTAACCCAATAAAGTCTTTGTAATGAGAGGCAACAGAGCTTTCTCTCTCTTTATTCCTTTCTCTCTTCTACATCTCTGTATATCTCATTCTCTCTCTATCCCTCTCTCTCTCTCTATTTATATATATATATATATATCTCCATCTTTCTTTCTCTCTCTCTCTCTCTCTCTCTCTCTCTCTCTCTCTCTCTCTCTTTCTCTCACCCGCCCCCCATCCCATGGGAGGACACCATGAGCACACGACTAGAGGGGCCATCTTTGGGCTAGGATGAGCACCCTCACCAGAAACTGCATCTGATGACGTGTTGATGTGGACTTCAAGTCTCCAGGACCCCCTCAGAAAATAAGTGTCTGCTGTTTATTTTTATGCTTATGACCACTCCAGCTGACTCAGACACATGGGGCTGGGCAGCAGTGCAACCAGGGGCAGTGCAGAACTGTATTCCTCCATGCTGGTGCTAATACTCACCTTCCCTGTAATCATTCTAATCACTAAGCATTGGACTGATAAATGTGCTCCTTCAACTTCAGAAATAGAAATGCATAATCATTAAACATATAAATACCATGTGACTTATAATCTTGCATTGCAAAACTCTCAACCTCAGAATTTCTTTTGAAATTAGCCTTTTAATGTGTGTAATTCAGGAGAGTGTCTTTGACTAACTATAAATCAAAGTACTGTGCTATTTCCGGATGAATTTGCTGCCATGGAAACCTGTATGAGGTCACCAGGAGAGCCCTGTTGCTGTGCGGTGTGCGGGATGCGGGCTTACCTCTCTTACCTGCTAGACAATGATGTCCAGTTCTGAATGGAATGAGATAATGCTGTGTAGCCAAAATGTGAGTAGCTGCTATTCACTGTTAATTATCTGATCCTTATTTACAGATGCCCAACTTTCTTAATGGAGAAAATATCTGACCATGTGGCCATTGCACTAATGGCATTCGAATCCTAATGCAATATTGATTTAATGTAGGTTTCTCAAAGGTTAAGTATCCATTGGCTCCTGCATAAATAACATGGAGCAGAAAAATGCGAAATGCCACAGGAAAGGAATCTTGATCTCCATGGCTTAAATTCAGAGACTTCAGAAGAGGTAAACCCAAAATTATTAACTATTTAGTTATGGTGAAATGCCATTAAACCCAACAAAACAAATGCAACAACCTGCCTCCTTCATCTGTCAGCATGCTCCCTGTGTACCTGATCCCCCTTTCTCAGTTGCAAATGTTGCCGTTTGCTCCTCCTTTTGTTCCAGTGAGTTTAGAACTTTGATATGCGGCATCTTGACATTTGGCCCACTGAGAAAATGTTCAAAACCTCAGGACATCCACAGTCATCACATCAAGAGCTATTTGTATGGGCAGATGCCTAAAAATGTTGTGCTGCTTGCTGTCTTAATTATCACAGAAAAATCTTACAACACGGAAGGGAACATTGCATCCAGCTCTGGAGAGCACTGGGTGGTACAGCGAAGGACTGAATCACCTTACAAAGCTTTGAGTCACAGCCTGCTCAGCTGCTCCGGGGCTGCCATCAAGGCTCTTTGCTCCAAAGGAGTTTATTTCCTGACACTAGCAGGATGGGAGTTTAGACACCAGACAAGCACATCACCAGGATTGATTTCACCCAGGATCACCGAGGAATCCCTGAACTCTGAAGAATACTCATGTCGCACTCATGCCCTTTCAGTCACACTTTTGAAATGATCTCACGATAATAATTTAACTTCCTTAAAAAGCATTCCCTTGCTTCACGATATAATTCAATTTCCTTAAAAAGCAATCCCTTGCTTCCTCTTGCCTCTCACTCATGATTGCATGTGGCAGAAGCAGCTTGGGTAACAGATTATTATGTTGCAGCCTCGTCATTTGTCAAAATATATTCATTCTTACCCTCCCTTCACATTAACCTTAAATTATGCCATCTAGGATGCAAGCAAAACAAAAGCAAGGACAAACATGTTTTAAATGTTTATTATTTTTCTCATTCACTGGAAAGGCAGAGCAAGGGAAAATTATATATGATATATAATATATTATAAAACAATCTCTCGATTCACACACACACACAGGGGCAGGAGAGAGAGAAATCGTTCACCCATGGGTTCCTTCCCCAGATGATTACAACAGCCAACGATGGGCCAGGTTGAGAGCTCCAACTGGGTCTCCCACTTGAGTGCGAGAAGCCAAGCACTGGAAGCATCTTCTGCTGCTCCCCAATGCATCAGCAGGAAGCTGGATCAGAAGTGAATAGTCAGGGCACAAACCGACACTCTGATATGGGAGAAGAGCATCCCGAGCTGCATAGTAACTTGCCGTGTCACAATGTCTGCCCTTTTTAATAACATACATTGCACCTGCAAATTACAAAAATAATTCAAGAAACACTTGAATGTATGCATTAGTGAGCATGTGTGGGTGTCCGTGCGTGTGTGTTTGTATGTGTGCATGTTCATTCATGGACATATTGATGCACACTCAACTTTCAGCAAACTAAGGAAGGAAGGAACTGAAAGAAGCCATTTTTTGCTGCTGTTGTTTTTGTTTTCTGCAGGTCAAGATAAAGCAAACAAGCAAAAAATAAAAATGACAGATGTTGTTTCTGAACATGAAGGACCACTCAGGTTAGTTCTGTAAAGATCAGCCCTTTGCTAATCTTGAGGTTAAGCACATGGGCTGTATATTTCTACACCTGACCTCTTCCATGCTAATCTTGAGGTTAAGCACATGGGCTGTATATTTCCACACCTGACCTCTTCCATGCTAATCTTGAGGTTAAGCACATGGGCTGTGTATTTCAGCACCTGACCTCTTCCATGGACATGCAGGGAGATGTGCACAGGCTGCACGCTTCAGTCAGAATTCTCTTATCAGTTTGCAGTGTTCACTCTGGGCATTCTCATTGGTAGGGTAGTCTCTGGACAGTCTGACCACATATCCCCTGACAAGGGCCCTATCTGATCCACAGGATGGAGCTACATGAGAAGGACCCGAAACAGCTCAGCTCTGTGCTGTGAATGAGGCTGGCAGACTGAAGGCAACTCCAAGAATGTAGGATCGTCCAGAGCTGTGGGGACTCTGCTTAGCCGCACGATGGCACAGTCATCACCACCCAAACTATTACTCCCAAAAAAATGCTTAAAATCACAGACATCTTAATCCTCCTAATTTCAATCTTACATACAATGCAGAAAGAAGGAGTTATTATCATATGCAGAAAGAAAACTACTTCAACAACCTCATGAGCTAGACCTCACTCTCCATCTCATTAAATTCTCACCTGCACAACAAAATCCAAAGGACAGCTTCCTTTCTCATTAAATCAACAAGAATTTCCAGATACTCCGTATATTATCCCCAGAAATTATACCTGCTTTTAGCTCATTTTCATCTACTAAATTATTGAATTTCTAATCACATCTAATAATGTTCTGAGCTTAATCCACTGATTATAAAATGCACTGTTTATCATTTACATTTTTGTATATAAATAAGATGCATTAAGGTAGCATTTTGTCATAGTTATTTATGCAGTTGGTCTGATTATTGCTCAGCCTCTTCAGCATGTTACTGAACTTTGAAACAGCTGCTGAAGAATTTCCTTTAAATGTAGTCCATGATCCTGGGAAGTTTTTCTGACTCATACAAGTCTGATTGTACTAAGGACTTGATAAGATTTTGCAATAAAGTAGACTCATTTTCAACTTGTGAACACACAGGTGAGTAGTGGACACTAGTGGTTTTATGAGCCATGGATTCCATATTGCATGGGAGTGCAGTAGTTCCTTTCTGGATTGATTTGTTCACATGCCACTGGAGAAAAGTTGAAAAAGCCAGGCTATCAGCTTCCTGGAAGAAGACAGCTGTTGAGGGAGAAAAAAAAAAAAACCTTCAGGAAGGGAGATTGCATGATTCATGGGTTTGTGAGCAGTCCCCGTGTCTCCTCAGGGGCCTGTGGCCCCATCCACCCTGACCCATGTGTAGCGGCTCTTCTCTACCTTTGCTATGAACCTCTACATGTACTGACAGCAGGTTAGGTGTCTGGCCCTCTCACTTGCTCTTGACTTTGATTCTCTGCTATTCATTTCAATGCAACCTATACTTGTGGCTGAGTGAAGGAAATATCTCTGCTGCCAAACAAAGTGTTCATGTGTTTGTCACATTTTGAAACAGTCATTGATTCCAGAGTGGAATACCCTTGAGTGATAATACTATGCGACTGTCAGTGGTTCACAATGCCTATTAATATGTTGTATCTTTTAAAAGTTGCATTGATAAATAGCCCTGTTTAAGTATTTCTTTAACCTAGCACCTACCATATTCATCAACTAGAAAGCCCTTTTTTGGGGGTTGTTTGCATATTAATATGCTTTGTGCACCATTGTCAGAAAGGGTGCAGGATGGCTTTTGTTTTGGAGCCTCAGCAGAAAATAAGACAGGAATGGCATTAACTACACAGGAGTAGATGCTGCGTTTGACAAAATCAACTCTGGATGTTAAGATGACAAAAGCTGGCACCCAGCAGAGGAAGCATTTTGGAAAGTGCTTATTTTCTATGACCTTTAAAATAATCTGGGCAGGACTCCGAGATCATTTAGGTCTGGCCTGGCATCATGATAATTCTAAGGATCTACAATTTATTATGATTTATGTTCTTAAGTTAGAAGAACCGAGGGATGATTCCAACTTCCTGCTAATGTACACTGTTAGAGGCAGGGGCTGACAGCTCAAGGACTTGGGTCCCTATTGTCCACATGGGAGACTCCCAACTCAACTACTGGTCCCTGGCTTCTGCCTGATCCAATCTTGATTGTTGCAAGCATTTTGGGAGTAAACAGCGGATGGAAGATCTCTATGTTTCCATTTCTCTCTCTCTCTCTCTCTCTCTCCTCTCCCCTCTTTCACTTGCAAATGAATAAAAATAAAATACATTTTTTAAAAAAATTCTGTTGAAAAACATAATTTTAATACACTCTATAATCACAGGCTTAATGCACCACTAACCATAATGTTCAACAAGTAAAAAGTAGAAAGACTATGGAATCATAGTTCCATAGGAGTATAAACAAGGGCCAAAAGCAACAATCAAATAACAGATGTCCCTTTCATTCCTATAACTGACACATATCAGATAAAACATATGATGTTTGTCTTTTTGGGACTGGCTTATTTCATTAAGCATAAATTATGGTTTGTAAAAATTAAAGAAAAAAGAAAGAAAGGAAGTAGGGGGATTGAGGGAGGGAGAGTGAAGGGGGGAGGGACATATGGTTATCTCCTCATAATTAAACCTATGAGATACATGAAATCTGTCTCTTTATATTAATAAAATTTTAAAACAACCGTACATCGTGAGAAAGATATGGAATTTGTTAAGTATATAAGTAAGAAAAAAAAATTTGCCAACCAGTGCTACTGAAATCGGCACCCCTTCACTAACTGGTTCCAGGTTTGATCTTCTGCCTGCGGTTGAGGGATGCAAACCTGTCATGTGCATCTAAGAGGACAAAAACAAAACCAGGGAGGTGATATCGAGGGTCTGGTTGTGTCGTGTTTGTGTGTCCCTTGAGAGCACTGGCATGTCCCTGGGGATGGAGTAAATGCACATGCTGCCAGCTGCTGAAGCAGCACAGTTTAAACCTTGGTGACCCCTCACTCTGATTCAGCTTGTTCCCGGGATGTTTTGGAAAGGCAGCTGTTACCGTTCACTGAATATTGAACACGTGTGAGATTTAAAACGCACTGACATCTTGGCTGCATTCACCAGAGACTCTATTCTGTACATTTAATTTAATCAGCTGTGGTGGAGGGACCAGGATTTTCATATCTCCAGGTAGTCCTAAGGCCCACTAAGGATCAGAGTCCCTGCTTCAGAAACTCTAGGATTTGAGCATCACACAGAGGACTGTCTGCTCATCCAGGTGGCTCAGGTAACCACGGATGAGGCGGCAGCCCTGCTGGGCGACTCAGGCCCAGTGTGTCCACTCACCTACGAAAGGGCACCAGCTCCCCGCTTTGTGGCAGACCCTTGAGGAAACAGCACCCAGCGTTGCAGGTGCTCCCTAGTGCCTGTGACTCCTGCACAGTGGAAATCGGCTCCTCGGCCTGTCACTTGCCATGTCTAGTGTGGTAGCAGCAAGACGAAGAGAATTAAATATGAGTCAGCCTCAAATAGCATTGTTCTGGATTTCCAACATCTGATCTGAAATATGAACAACTTAGTAGTCCTCACTTTTGTGCAATATCCACCCCCCAACAAAACTGAAACAAAATGAAGATTGGCAAATCTTCATACATTCATCAGATAAATGAGGGCGCAGAGCAAACCAGTGCCATGAAGAGAGGAGAGACAGAGGGGTGGGTCCAGGGAACCACAGCTGACCCGGAGAAGACAGATAGAAGATGATTAGTGAAGCTTAAAGGCGACTGCTTATTGCTGAAAGTTTAGCACAGGCCGTCCTGGGAGAATAAAAGCATATGCGTGCCTTGTGACAGGAGTGCACCAGAGACAAATCCCCTCGTGGACAGAAGGTAGGGCAGGAAAGCCACCCTGTTTACACACCCAGGGCAGGATTGTTTCATCACCGGTCAAGGTCTGCCTTCAAGGGAAGCTGTTTAACCAGCCTGAGTTTCATCGAAGCCAAACAATCCCAGGGGACAGAAGTGGACAGCTCCAGGCCTCTCCAGTCCTCCTGTCTCACCAACCCGGGGGAAGGTGAGGAGCATTTGTGTTCGTCACAGCACAGAGACACGGCCCACTAATGCCCACTAGTGGACTGGCTTCCGTGGAAAGGTAGAGTGGCTGTTCTGCATCCACACAGTGCCACATCACTGATGGCAGGGACCTGCGGTGCCAGGGACTGCCAGGCCTGGCCTCTATTTAAGAAGGAGCTTCTAGGGAAATCCAATTATAATTGGGGCATAAAGACAAGGACAATCAAGAAAATTTAGCCTCTGACAGCTACAGATATAACAAATAGGAAATATACCGATAGGCATATACTTCACATTCAAGGCCTATTAACCTCAGTTCACTTTACTCCATTTATCAGGTTTGGTTCTCATCAAAGAATTATAAAATTCTTGATAGCAGGTAGGAAAGGAAACATCAGTACCAGAAGTGGATATGGCAGGGATTTTGGAATTACCCGAATTTGAAGCAGCTATGATAAAACAGCTATCGGTGAAGGAATCTATTAGAAAAGTGCACAACAAGTAAGGACAGATGGTTCCTGGAAGTAGAGAGATGGAAACCCCAGAAATGAATCAGAAATGCTGGTGATCAAAGCATTTTAACAGAAGTGAAGGATGTCCTTGGAGGCTGTCTTGATCTACCAACACTGTCACCACAAAGTACCAGAAACTGCATGATTTCATGACAGAAATGGTAAATCTTATGATGTATCTCAAATTTTCTCGAGTCTGGAAGATAGATGTGACAGTAGGGTTGGCATCTTCTAAGCAAACACACCTTGACTTGCAGGTGGTTTTTATCTACATATGACCCACACAGTCCTCCCTCGGGTGTGACTGTGTCCTAATCTCCTCTTCTGTAAGGACATTAGTCATGTTGGATACCTTTTTTTGTTGCTGTTGACAGGCAGAGTGGAGAGTGAGAGAGAGAGACAGGGAGAAAGGTCTTCCTTTGCCATTGGTTCACCCTCCAATGGCCGCCGCGACCGGCACGCTGTGGCCGGTGCACCGCGCTGATCCGATGGCAGGAGCCAGGTACTTCTCCTGGTCTCCCATGGGGTGCAGGGCCCAAGCACTTGGGCCATCCTCCACTGCACTCCCTGGCCACAGCAGAGAGCTGGCCTGGAAGAGGGGCAACCGGGACAGAATCCAGCGCCCCGACCGGGACTAGAACCCCGTGTGCTGACGCCGCAAGGCGGAGGATTAGCCTAGTGAGCCGCGGTGCCGGCCAGGATACCTGTTTTTAGAGCCTATGGACAATCATACTCTGAGATGGAGGCGTTAGTATTCTAATATAGTACTAGACATTAGTAACTTCCATACATACTTTTAGGTGATGCAATTCACCCTGTAATATCTCCCAAACCAGAATAATAAGGAAAAGAAGAAGGGGAGAAAAACCTAAACAGTTTGTCCAAGAGCTATGGGATAATTACGAAAGTTCTCACGGTGGATAATGGGTAAATGAGAAGTAGAAGAAATAGAGAAAGGCACAGAAGACATATTTGGAGTGGTAATATTTGCAAATAAAAAGCCACGATGCTCACACACACGCCCACCAATGCAAGGAGCTCAAGAAACACTAAGTAAATAAACACCCAAAATGTACAACCAGGTACATCTCCTCAAGTGGCAGGAAGTCAATCAAAAGGGCAAAAGCTCGAAGGGAGGCTGGATGGAAGCAACGTCTCCTCTATAGAGAAACCAGGATATGAATCGCAACGGAGTTTTCTTCAGGAACCATATAAGCAAAAATAAAGTGCAGTGAAATGATTAAAGTGTTCAAAGAAAAAAAAAGATCATTAACCCAGAATCCCTGCATCCAGTGGAGTTGTCCTTCAAAAGTCAAGGAGAAATAAAGACACGTACAGGCAAACCAAATTAATTTCTAATCAGAAGACCTTAGTTACAAGGCACTCTAAAGCAAAGAGGGTAAATGGTGCAGCCAGAACCTCAAATCCAACCTCCATGGCCTTCAAGTGGGATCTATGGATCTATGTAAAATGGAACAGTGTGCGAAAAGGATTAAATAAAGGTAGAATCATCTTTTACTTCTCTTATTATTGATTTACATAAATCATTATTTGTCCAAAATAATAACAGAAATAAGAGAACTATGACACTGGTGCCTTCAGAAGTGGGAGGAGCTGAGAATACCCTCATCATACCCATACTACCATGAGATGGCAAAGCAAGTTTAAAGTAGTTGTCAATGAATATTGCAAATTCTGTGGCAAAGTCTGTGCTAATTAGAACATTTACATCAGTTGAACACATTTCAAATAAAAGAATAAAGTCCTAACATCAATTTCCCAAGCTACCACTTTAGGAAACCAGAAAATGAAGAGCATCTGAAATCCAAAATAAGCTAAAGAAACAAAGTTGCTAATATCAGATATTAAAAAGGAGTTGGGGCCTGTGCTGTGCACAACAGGTTAACAACCTGGCCTGAAGTGTTGGCATCCCGTTTGGGTGCTGGTTTGTGACCCGGCTGCTTCACTTCCAATCCAGCTCTCTGCTATGGCCTGGGAGAGCAGCAGAAGATGGCCCAAGTCCTTGGGCCCCTGCACCCACATGGAAGACCCGGAAGAAGCTCCTGGCTCCTGGCTCCTGGCTCCTGGCTCCTGGCTCCTGGCTCCTGGCTCCAGGCTTCGGATCGGCATGGCTGTTGTGGCCAATTGGGGAGTGAACCATCGGATGGAGGACCTCCATCTCTTTTTCTCTCTCTCTGCCTTTCCTCTCTCTGTGTAATTCTGACTTTCAAATAAATAAATAAATCTTTTTAAAAAAAGGAGTCAATCACTACTAATGACATGAAATTTAAAGGATAATATAGGAATAG